TAGCAACCTGAAAATAGTATAAGATAGTAAGTGTTAGAAAAACAAAAACAAAAAGACTTATCATTATTACTAAAATTAGCACGAAAAAAAAAATATATATATATACATCTATATATATTTTACTAAATCTTAGAACATGGTTAATCGTGCGATTAAGACCCTTATAGTAATAAGGTGATGAAGTAATTTGAATTGTTAAAAAGGGGAATTAATGAGAAGCGGGTAACTGACATAAGGGCTGAAGTTAGTAAGGAAAAAAAAAACAACTACGGACTATATATATTCATAAAATAAAATAAACAAATTAAACAAAAAAAAATTTTACTTAAATAAAATACTAATAAATGAATGAAATTACATTGAATTAGATGAAAACCGAATACAAAGCTAACCCGGGACTAAAATATTTAATTAACTGAAACTTAAAGAAAATGTAAATTAACATAAAAAAGGCCACTATATAACAAAAACTGAATATTAATAATTAATAATACTAATAATAATAATAAACCAAACAGGAAAGAGGAATAAATCGAAAAGAAAGACTAAAAGGAATTAATTAAATTACGTGAACCCAAAACCAAAACAAATGAATGTAGAAACCCCGTAAATTAACTTAAATTTAGGAGAACTATAACTAAGACTATAAGACTATAAGTACCTTAGGCTAACTTGACCTACTTACCTGAATTACTTACCTTGACATACTCACCTGAGTTTCCTATTTAATTCACTTACCTGAACTACATACCAGACGTACCTACCTGATTTTCCTACCTAATCCAACATTTTTGCGACTACTTACATGATATTACCTACTTGAACTTTTTACCCACTATTACTTGATATACATTTTTTTGTGAAAATACTAGATATATGTACCTAGCCAGCCTTAACTTAGTTCACTTAATTAGATTTAACTTTAGGGTAAACACTTACCTCAAGTATTTACCTCAGTTCTAGTTACCTATACTTACCTTACCCTCTTGCGATTAACACACTTGCTTTAGACTT